GGGCTGGCCGTTTGCCCTGGAAATCTCTCCGTGATCCATCAAAATCGTTGTCGAACAAACGTTTCCACAGCAGCGCTTCGAATCCTCGCTCTATCCGGTAGTTTTGTTGATGTATCTTGCGATCGAACGCGTAGGAGTGCATGTTTATTCATGTCTTTCGGGGCGCCTGGGTTGTATCGATGGGAAAATTGCGCGTATATACTCCGGGTGAATAAGATTCGATGGAAATGCGTTGGAATAGAAATTGTGAGCGCTGCTGTTTTGAGCGTTCGCATAGGTTAATTTGGTTCGGAGTTAATTAGGTTGGTTTTGATCTAAAGTTTTGCGGAGTGTTTGCGGTTGAAATGGGAAAAATTCTGTGCAATTTCACGTGCTATTTGAAGTTTCTAATACGCGGGCTTAGTAGCAATTACGCGCTGCTGCGCGGTTTGAGTAATTGCATTTTCTAGTGTAAATAACCTTGGAAGTTTTGGGGTTTTTGGATTTTTTTTGTTTTGTTTAAAGTTGTAGGTAGTTTGTTCTATAAAAGGGTGAAAGTTTTGTGCGTTTATCTCGAACGGTTTTCGAGATAATTGATGTTTTCGAAACAACTGCACTAAAAATTGGTGATTTTTAAGAAATATTGTTGTGGCAATAAAGTAAAAATATCTCGGAAATTTGGGGATTTATGATAAATTTCGATTCTTTAAAATTTGTAGAGAACTATTTTTTCTATAATTTGATGATGATTTCGTGTTTTTATCTCGAACGATTTTCGAGATAACTGAAGTTTTTTAAACAATTGCACTAAAAAATTTTTAAATACACTTTTATGATAAAAAAGTAAAAATATCTCAAAATTTTAGGCATTTCTGAAAAATTTCGATTCTTCAACATTTATAGCGAATTATTTTTTCTATTTATTGATGAAAATTTCGTTTCCATACCTCAAACCGTTTTCGAGATAATACACATTTTTTAAACGATTTCACCAAATTTGTTTGCACATTTTCTAACAAAAAAATCCCGTAATATTCGCAAAACTCTTACGTAGGCGTATCTCTCCATTTAGACATTTTTATACATACCTGACGATATATATTCCCAAGGAGATCGTTAGAGCCCGCAAACATAAATATGCATGTAGCAAAAGCAAAAAAAAAATCGCTTTACCTACCAACGAGGGTAAGGTGACAAGTTCTCGACCCGATAATGAATAAAGACCGCGATTTTTAGTCGAAAAATTACATTATTCTTCTTTTTAAGTCGAAATCTTCAGTTCCAGACAGTTCTGGGGCGTTCTAGTTTGTTCCAGACAGTTTTAAATGATTCTGATGAAGCGTTCTAAATGGTTCTAGATAGTTTTAATTGCAAACTTAGAGTATAGAGAAGAATAGAGTAGGGAGTAGAAAGAAGAAATCATCAAAAGAATTAATTATTGTGCGTCCAATTTAACTCTAGAATTAAAATCTATAATCCCTTTTACGCCCGATACCCTCCCTTAAATACATTCATGATAAAATCGCAAAGATCATCAAATATTTCATTCAAATTTTCGCAAAATTACAAATTCTCCACACCCCGTACATTTCCATTCATTTCCTCCGACGCGTCGCCGGTCTATCTATACACAAACCCAATCATTTTCCCATATACAAAAAAAAAAACTCGCCTCCCTTTCGGGCGCATCATCGAAACCTTTTTGCCGAAGGTCTCTCGCAATTTCCGCACCGTCTGCGGAACTTAATTACATTCTTTTCACATACTAAACGCGGAATTAATCGGTCCCGCGTGCGGCCTTCGAAAGGGCTCGAAAAGGGCTCGGCGGCGCGCGTACGGGGACTCCCCCGGACGTTTAATGATGTAACTTCGATTCGGAGAATTCGAATAGGAAAAAAATAAACGGAAACGATCGCTAATGAGATGATTTTCCGGGCGCGAGAAATCTCGCTGTTTGGATGGGTAGAATTATACGAGGGTAGGATGAATGGTACAACTACCTGGAACAATTTAGGATGCTTCGTAGTCATTTGGAACGCTCCAGAATCATTTAGAATTGTCTAGAACTATTTAGAACACTGCAAAAACATTAAGAACTGTTTAAAACCACTTAGAACATTTCAGAATCATTTAGAAAGCTTCGATTTGAACTATTTAGAAAGCCCTAGAATCCTTTAGAGCTGTCTAAAATAATTTATAGAAAGCTCTAGATTAATTTACAACTGTCTAGAACCATTTGGAACTCTCCAGAATCGTTTGAATTGATGAAAAATTGATGAAAAACGATAAAAAATTGAACTAACGTTGAACAAAAATTGAATTAATGTGGACCAAAAGTTTACTAAAAAAATGACCGAAAATTGAACAACCGGTTTTACTCTAAAAATTACAAAAATGTGTCAAAACGCTCCAGAATCATTTAGAACTGTCTATAACCATTTGGAACGGTCCAGAATCATTTGAATTGATGAAAAATTGATGAAAAACGATCAAAAATTGAATTAAAGTAGTCCAAAAATTAATCAAAACATGCACAACTAAAAATTGAACTAAAGTTGAACAAAAATTGGCCAAAAATTGATCCAAAAAAGACCAAAAATTGAACTAAAGTGGACCAAAAATTCACTAAAAAAAATGCCCAAAAATTGAGTAACCAGTTTACTAAAAAATTACAAAAATATGTCCAAAAATTGATCAAAAAACGTCCAAAAATTGAGCTTAAGTAGAAAAAAATTTTCAAAAAAAACAAAAATTGATCTTAAAACGACCAAAAATTGAACTAGTAAAGTTGACCAAAAATTTACTTAAAAACGACCAAATTATTACCAGAAAAACGATCAAAAATTAAACCAAACCAGATCAAAACGTAAACAAAATCGACTTAAAATTAATCCAAAACGATCAATAATTGAACCAAAATAGACCAAAACGTGAACTTAAAATAATTTAGAACTGTCTATAACCATTTAGAACGCCCAGAATCAATTAGAATTGTATACAACTAAAAATTTCGACTTAACAAGAAAAATAACGTAAATTTTTCAACCAAAAACCCCGCCCTTTCATTATCATACCGAGAACTTCTCACCTTACCCCCGAAATTAGCTTCTACTATACCAACTCCCGATAGCGAACGGACTATAACGAAAACCCAACGCGCCCCCTTCGAACCTCGCGATAGGTATATCGCGAAAAATTAACTCCCGACTCGGCAAAAAAACGCCCGATATGTACAAGCGATATAAGCTCCATCATCCCCGTAATATAGGTTTCGAGAGAGAGTGTCGGAAAAACCCCATTAGGGATGCCGAGCACGCGGCCTCGTCAGCCTCGGATATCTCGTCTCATATAAGACTTTATTAAAAAATCTTCCGAGTCGATGGCGCGGCCTTGGTACTCTCTCGCAAGAGACGAAAACATCTCAGAAATCAAGATCGCCGGCTTGAAGGGGGGCGGCGAGGTGAGGGGATGCGCGGTTAAGGTCGATTCGAATATTTTTACCGCCTTAGATTGTATATTAAAATTATATATACAGTGTGAAGCGATAGCTGAATTTTTTTATCCCCTCGGTAAGAGACTTTAACCACCCCTAATTTTTTAAAATACAGGGTGTCCAGAAAATAGATAGATAGAGATAGAGTGTACGTGTTAAATTCAATTAAAAATTATAGGTAAATACATAAAATTCGAGTCGATTTAAATGAAGGAAATTTCACAATTGCAACGAACAGACTTTATGCATTATTATTTCCGGCATGAATCGAATTAAAATTGTAAACAGTTGGGAGAACGCGCATGAATAAATAACGAAACGTATTGAATTTTCTTCTGTATATTAGAATAATTTATCGAATGGTTGTATTGGATGTTTCGTGCGGTTTCGTGAGAAAATTTACACGTGCCCGATAAGTACGTTGGTACATAATACTATTTATAATTGGCACACGTTTTTGTGCATAAAAATAGATTTTTCCGGGTAAATTCACCAACGGGGGGAATTTTCATGAAATATATTTGCTCTTATGAAGCTCAATATTAGCTGTACTAACTTACAAATCGCTCTAGAATCGTTTTAAAATTGTTCTAATTACTCTTCAAAAACTACCCTAAAACCAATTGTTCTTCTAAAAACCGCTTTAATTCTACTAAAACCGTTTCAAAATTATCCTTATTACTCTTCAAAAAGTACTCTAAAACCGGTTTCAAAGCTGCTCTAATTGTTCTTCAAAAAATTGCTTTTAAACCTCTTTAATTCCACTAAAGGCGTTTCAAAATTGTTCTAATTGCTCTTGAAAAACCGCAACAAAATCGCACTAAAACCGCTTTAAAACCTCTTTAATTGTTCTCTAGAAATCGCTTTAAAACCTCCCTCAAGCTGCGAACTGAAACGCCTTCAAAATCGTTCTAAAACCGGTTCAGAACTGCTTCAAATTAGTTCTAAAACCGCTTTAAAAACCACTCTGATTTCTAATAATCAATTTTTCCGATTTTCATGAAGTAAAAACACCCTGTATATCATTTTTTTTTTCGTATATTGATTATATTATTAACAAAGTTCATTGTGTTTACTGTTTGTAAATGGAAGCAAGCTATATTTTTTTGTTTTAATTACCAGGAAAAACTTCTCTAGATTTTTAATTTTTTTTGTTTTAATAAATCTTTGTTGGAAAGTTTGTGGGTTGGAGAAACTCGAATGTAAATAAGCTAATCGATCAGCAATCGGTTTATGTCTCAATACGTTCGAACGGAAACTGATTATTTTTTCAACGCGAACTCTCGTAATATTTTATTAGCACTCAATGAACTCCACGTTGAATAATTGAGAAGTCGAAATCGCCGCATTACTTCGATTGAGCTTCGTAGAAATTGCTCTATTTACCTGATATTAACTGTATAGAACTTGGAATGCATAATATAAAAATACTCTACTATACTCTGCTCTTTGATAATTATCTTCACGCTCGATGTTAACGCGCTTGTAATAATTAATTCGGAATTTTTTTACAAAACATCTTTTGCAGCATCGTCATCACGAGCATTTCCTCGACCATCACGTCGTCTCCGAGTTCGCCGAAAAGACTAAAATTCCTCTACCATTCCTCTCCCATCAAACGAACCCAAAACCCTGTAAATAACCCCGAAAACATCGACTAGAAACTAGAAAAAAAAATTTACAAAAACACACAAAATGGACGCGCCTCACTTTTCTCCGAGTCTATTAAGCGAATTAAGTTCAAACGAATATCCGAAAGCAATACTAAACAATGCGTATTTTGGTTCGATACCGACAGACAATATTATTAACGTAACGTAGTATTTTTAGGAAGTATATTTACGCCGAATTATTCACCAAAAAAAATTTGTTGATTAATCGATTGAATAGCTATATAAAAAAAAAACGGTGCCGTCAATATATTGTTTATTGCAAATTTTATATTATAATATTTTTAGAATGTTTGTTAGATTTATATACCGTTGAACGTTATAATTTCCCCGAGTTAATTAATAATTAATAACGCAACACGTACAAACAAAAACAAAAATAAAACTAGAGAGAAAACCTACCTAACTTGAGCTTATTACAAACGATGATATTTTTGTATAGAACCGCTCGGTTTTTTAACGCGAGTTAGGGGCCTAAAAAAAAAGAAGAAAAAGAAGAAGAAGAAGAAGCAGCAGCAGGATGTACGCAGCGGCGGGCGGCGCCTCGCTGGCCAGCCGCCAGGCCAGGCAGCGCCAGAAGCAGAACAAGCAGAAGCTCCAGAAGAACAAGGCCACCGAGCTGGCGGCCAGACAGCCGCAGGCCAAGCAGTTCCAGAACTACACGGACCCGCTGGTGCCGCGGCTGTCGCGCGTCGAACGCGGCACGCTCAAACCGACGCCGCCCCAGCCGCACGAGCGCCGCCACAGCGCCTCCAACTACCACCTCAAGGAGCCCCAGCACCGCGCCCGCATCCGCGAGAGCCCCTCCATATCCATTCCGGTGGCGCCGCCGCCGCCGCCGCCGCACAGCCCCCATCACCATCACCATCACCACCACCACCAGCAGCAGCAGCATCTTCCTCTGTTCCCCGGCGGCGGCGGCGGCGGCGTTTCCTTGCAGAACCAGCTGCCGCAGATCCTGATCCCCGAAGACGGGATGAAGCCGGAGAGGCGGTGCAGCTTCGTGCGGCAGGTCGAGGAAATGGAGAAGCACCAGGAGCAAGGTCTGTTGGACAATTGCAATCACATTTGTAATTTCGATTATAAGGAAACGCCGCCTTGGGATAATAAGTTTTACAGTGATTTCGACAGGGACGCGTTCGGGAGCTTGGATTATCCCTTTTCTGAGGTATTTATGCCCGTTTTTAGTTTCGTTTGCTTTAGGCGAATGCGCTGGGAAGATGTGTTACAAGTTGCGATTGTTTTATTTATAGTCCGTTCGCTATCAGGATGTACAATACAAGCCTTGTTTTGAATGGTAAAAGGTAGGACTAAAAGAGAGTTTAGACTTTAGAGAGTGACTAAAAGAAAATTTGGGTAATAGTAATGGTAATGATTATTGTACTTTAACAGTGCCGCTCTGTATACAAGGGTAAAGTGAGAAGTTCTCGACCCCCCAGTATTCTTTCTATCCATCTATCATCTTAATGGTTCTAGACAGTTTTAAATGGTTCTGAATTGTTCTTTGAGCGTTCAACACAATTCCAAATGATTTATGGAACGTTCTAAATGATTCTAGACAGTTTTAAATGATTCTGGAGCGTTCTAAATGGTTCTAAACAGTTCTCGTTGATTCTGGAGCGTTCTAAATGGTTCTGAAGCGCTCCAAACGGTTCTAGACAGTTCTAAATGATTCAAGTCGAAAACTTTTCGCTCCACCCTCGTACACGGTTCGCAATTATAGACCCTGTTCTAACAAAATGAGCTGAAAACGGTGCATAAAATTACTTGAAACTACTCAAAAATTACTCAAAATAAAACTATAAAATCTCTTTCATTTATATCCGAATCTGTACCGAATAGGTGAGTGCCTCCAAAGGTTTTATTACTATATCCTAATAGCGAACGGACTATAATTCCTGAGATACTTGTAATAGTATATCGCCTTGATACAACCAGTATCTATTATCTCATTTTACCAATCCATCAAAATTTATTTTCTACATATCTATACGTTAAAAAGAACATTTTAAAGAGCATTATAGTGTAAATAATTCCAGTAAAAATGAACCAAATATCCCCCTCTTTACATAATTCACTAAGTTGATGTAACGAATTAGGTAATTAGAAACGATTCATCCCTATTATTTTTTTCGTTATAAGTACTCCAACCTGTACGATTCCGGGCGTACATAACGAATCAACCATCGTGTTTCAGCGGAGCTCCATTGCTATAATGAATTTAATAATAATTCCCGCACGGCGATCGATAAAATGGCGGAATTTCGTTGGAATTTGTACTTGAAAATGCGCACGCTAAGATGAATTTATCCGATAATTTCGATCCGGGATGATGATGAATTGAACACACACACACACACACATACACAAACACACATACTAATCGCACACACACAAAACACACTCACACGGAGAGATACTCGAATAATAAACCGTGTATTCGATAATTAACGGGGACGAATTCGGGACCAGATACTTCGAAATTTACCAAAAAAAAAACACAAGTAACATATCAAAAAATATATATTATATTATACAAAACTTATATATACACGTATTTATAAGCTGCGCTTTGTTAAACTATTTTTGTATCGAAACAAAAAAAAAAGCTTCTACTGCCTTTTTCGAACGAAAGCTTTCTACTAACTCTAACACTCTACTATTTTTTATGCATATATACATACACTATATACTCATATATTCGCCGCTTTGCAACAAAATAAACCTCCCTAATTAAAATCGCGCGGTTAAAAACAACCGAAATAGAACAAAAAAAATAAATAACCCGTCGAGTGGTGTTCGCGATATGGTCTCGTCCGCTGTATGAGTACAGCCGCAACGGCAGGTATGCAGGCCGCCTTACTAATTAGAGAGAAACAGCGCCTTCGTAAAAAGCGCGTGCGACAGGGACGGCACGATTTGCCCACGCACGTCGCCACCAGGGACATCGGACCGTTTCCGCAATTCCCCGCCGATTATTTGGTAAGTTCCTACACAAGCGGTCCGAAAGCCCAACGGGCGAAGGCCAAAGGTTGTTGTATAAACAAAAAAAAGAAGAATTTTTATTTTTGGTGACTTGACAGGAATCGGAATACGAACAAGACATTACAACGTACAACTAATTAGTTATAATGTGTTTGGAATACAACGATCGGTAACAAAACGAGAGGATTCAAATCGAATTAATCTGATGTATATTTTGTTCTATTTACAACATTTCCTAATACAAGAATTATTCCAGTGTAAGGAAGGTCGGTACGATTCGGTATCGAATTGGAATCCGCCGGAAAATAATAAATGGCGTTGTTTGAAAATGTACCGAGCGGATTTGTTGCATTAGGATATTGGAAAATATTGTTATTCGCGCGGGACCTGACCGATGCACGAACGTATCTAAATGCAAATCGCGGCCCGCCTTTCTCCGTCTTACCTCTTGAATATGCGATTAACCCCGTCGGAAAACAACAGCGGAGTATATATCGAACGAAAAGTATTTTTCCTTTGAACTTGTGAAAATGATCGCACAATCGGCAACGTTGTAAAATTCGTATGCTGGGTGGTAATTAATTGAGTGCCGATACTACAGGATGTGGATATTTGGGTGATTTTAAGATGAAAAGTTTATATCAATATATGTCCTGAAGCTCTTAGTTTTTGAGCTACAGGGGGTTATAGAGTTTTAGAAAAATAATTAACTTTTCTGTCAGAATTTTTTTATTACTCCAGATATTTTTGTGAAATTTTGTACACACTTTTTAATTGTTAATGGGCATTTTTTGAGGCGAAAGTTTTTCACCAGTGACGTCCGTATGAGGTTTGAACTGAATATGTTTGAAGAAAAAATAGTACGCCACTGCTTTTTCTAAAAACCAAAATTATTTTTAAAATCCTCATTTATTTTGGAGCAAATTGGAGCAATTTTTTTTCGAAAAAAACTACCCTGTAGCTCGAAAACTAAGAGGTTTAGGACATATAAACATTTCCTCTTAAAATCACCCAAATAATCACATCCCGAAGCATCGCCACTACAATTAATCAACACCCTGTATATCGTTTTATTTTTTTCGACGCCTCGAAACCGTGATAACCATCACGTTTCGTGCGTTTACCGCACTTTTTACGTATTAATAAGAGTAGTCTAGCAACAAAATTACTGTACACAGTGCTTACTCGAATGATCAATATATTCGTTTCGTTGCGTCCGGTAAAAAAACCGACGAATTCGACCAGCCCGCACGCGTTTCGCTCTCTTCAAGCGCCCCGAATTTTTCGCGAAAATGCATTCGCGCATTTTGAAAAGAGCCCACAAAAACGCCCTCAAAGTGGCCGCCGGGCCTGTATCGGTCTACAACATATCCGGGTACATCAATACGGGCGGCGCATAGGTAGGATAAAACGCGATTCCGCTGGAAAATTGATGCACGTTCACGTGCAATTGATTGATACACGCCTGCATATAGTTTGTTTTTTATTTTTTCTAATTTTTAGTGCTCCCAGGGCCGCGCCGCCTGGCAGGAAAGGGAAAGGGACAGACGCTGTTCGCTCTCGGAGGAAGCGCGGCAACATCGCATCAAACAGACCGAGGCCCATCATCGATGGATGAAAAGGAACAGGGTGAGCTACATTATTACTATTTATTCACTATAACAATTCACTACCGATACTCCTACCCAACAATAACTCCCAATACCATTTTATAAGTGTACTAACCGAACAGAGGAGTATATAATACTGGATAGTTCGGAACTCTTTTTCAAATTTTATACGCAAGCACGATGTTCTACAGAGCGCTAGATAAGTTCTAGAGTGAATCTGAAAGTAGTAGAAGAGTAATAGAGTGAATCTGGAAGCACTAGAGAAGTTCTAGAGTGAATCTAGAAGCACTAAAGAAGTTATAGAGTGAATCTAAGTGTAGTAGAACAGTATTAGAGTGAATCTAGAAGTACAAGAGTAGTTCTAGAATTAATTTAGAAACACTACAGAAGTTCTAGAGTGAATCTAGAAACATTACAGAAGTTCTAGAGTGAATCTGGAAGTAGTAGAGGAGTAATAGAGTGAATCTAAAAGCACTATACTAGTTACATGTAAATACAGTGAATTTGGAAGCCTAAGAATAATTCTAAAGTGAATCTGGAAGCACTAGAGAAGTTTTAGAGTGAATCTGGAAGCACTAGAGAAGTTTTAAAGTGAATCTAGAATCTCTAGAGAAGTTTTAGAGTGAATCTGGAAGCACTAGAGAAGTGCTAAATTGGATCTAGAAGCACTAAAGAAGTTCAAGAGTGAATCTGGAAGCACTAGAGTAATAATATAGTGAATCTAGAAGTACTAGAGAAGTTCTAGAGTGAATTTAGAAGCTCTAGAGAGATTCTAGAGTGAATCTAGAAGCACTAAAGAAGTTTTAGAGTGAATCTAGAAGCACTAGAGAAATAATATAGTGAATCTAGAAGTACTAGAGATGTTCTAGAGTGAATCTAAGTTTAGTAGAACAGTATTAGAGTGAATCTAGAAGAACAAGAGTAGTTCTAGAGTGAATCTGGAGGTAGTAGAGAAGTAATAGAACGAATCTAGAAGCACTAGAGTCAATTTAACAGTACTAGAGAATTTCGGACCGCTTTACATCGCAAATCACGAATCGAATCCTATATTTGCCAACAGATACACGATTCGAGTTTCGGCGTCGGCTCCGACGACGAGGACTTCTTCAGCGTCTACCACCAGAGCGCCGCCGCCAACGCCCTCCTCTACGTCGGCCTCGGCACGACGGCCATCGGCAGCGTCATATTCTTCGTCGGCACCGGCGACAAGGGCTTCAAGACGCTCGAACTGCGGCTCATCGGCCCGACGCTCATCGCCTGCGGCCTGCTCTGTTGCCTCGTGCGCGTCCTGCTCTGCGCCGTGCCGTCGACGTGCTTCCGCAACCGCAAAACGGCGCGGTCGAAAACCGCCTCCGGCGCCGCCGCCAATCGATCGGTGTCGAGTAAACCGCCGCCGGACGTGGAATTCGTCCACGTGGATCCGTCGAAGCGCGGCAAGAAGAAGGTGTCGATCGCGCCGGGCGCGGCGCCCGGGCCGAGCACCAGCGCCGAGTGCGCGGAGCTGTTGCCGCGCCGCGACACCTCGGTCTCCATACCGGAGATACATTTCGGCGAGGACGATTCGGTCATCGAGCTGCAAACGTTGGACGGGGAGTTCGACGCGCGCAGCGCCTCGAGTTCGGACGGCGCCGATGAGGCGACGGCGGGCGCGGCGGCGTCGAAGTTCGCGCGATCGAGGGAGCCGGAGCACTGGCGGCGCGGCGGCGGCGGCGACGCCGGCGATACGGAGACGTCGTTGTGCGTGGCCTTCGGACGCGGGGTTGATTGTGAGGGGGACAAAATGAGGGATGTTGTTAGTGAGAAACAGACGCACAGCGGTATCGTACTCAGCGCGGCGCAGCTCGAGCGATAGTTCCGATTGGTTTTCGGTTGGATATGTTTTTTTGCATATACCTATTACTACTATACCGCTTATGATGGTCTAAAACCCGTAGCAAACATTATACTGTGGTGTGCCTGCTTATTTATGCGCATGCTCAAGTGAAAGATTTCTTGATTGGCTACTTTTGACACAGCAAATGAAACGTCAGAAAGCTTTTATTTTGGTATATTTTTTGATATATTTTTAAAATCGACTTTGAATTGCCCGTGTAAATATATCAGGTTACCGAATTTAACCACGATTTCAAGTATTATTTTCCTTCTTTTCTTTTTAGGCCTCAGCTACTCGCTATTGGTCCTTTTAAAATTAACGCGCTTGCGTATAAACGACTAAGCACACCATAGATGGTCGGATCTCTCTCTTTAATCGCTACGATTTTCTCTCATGGAATAGATAGGGAGTTAGCAGTGTATTAGTAATAGGTATATGGTTTTTTGTTGTATTCGAAAATATTATGCGCGGATTTGACGGGTGTTGGGTATATATACTGCTCCACATAAGTTAAGGAAGTTCGCAATAATTGAGATTGATTTAAAAGTTTCAGGTTTTTTGATCGCCAAAGTTAGTATGAGTTGTAGATGTAGGTGCAAAAAATCCACTCGGATATGAGAGAAAGAATTTAATTTCGCATCTTTGAAAATTTGGTGATCGAAAAGTCTGTAACTTTTAAAATAATCGCTAAATTTGCGAACTTCATTAACTTTTGTGGAGCAGTTTATATATACAGTGCGTTTAACACAAATCGACTTAACTATAGCATCTCCTTAATAACCATCTTAATTGTATCTACATACAGGGTGTTAATTAATGAGGATGTGGATATTTGGATGGTTTTAAGAAGAAAAGTTTGTATCAATATATGTCCTAAACCTCTTAATTTTCTAAATTAAACTAAGAGGTTTATAACATATATCTAGTATAATATTCACATCCTGAAGTAGTTCATTTCAAATAATTCCAACAATTGAACAAAAACTAGACACTTTAGTACCTTTTTAATATCCCAGAAGGAAAAAGGTTGGTGTATTGTTAAACACCCTGTATACAGAGTGGTACTACTAAGGCAAAATAAATATTACTACTGCACAATAAAAAGACTTTTGGAAATTCTGTTTTTTACATACAAAAATCGTTTTTTTTACTATCTCCTGATTGCGAATGGAGTACAAAACAGTGTTGCCAGATGGATTATTTCCTATATTATAGGTCGGTTTGTGTTTCGCGCTGGTATTACAATTGAAATTGCTTGAAACTTGCACATTGTAGCGACAATAAGAGATTTATCTACATATATTTTTTAATAGTTGTTATATACACGTTTTTGGTAAATGCTGTTGACATTTTTGTTTTACTATATGCTCTAATAATTAGTTTATCGAGCCTAAACGAGCCGAAATCAAATATGCGACAAATGATCTCAAAGAGGCACTAACTGTTCACTAGAAGTGTAAGAGACCGGTAGAAGAAACTTCCACCGGTGCAAGATCTCAAAAAATTGTGCATTTCTTGATTGGCTGATATTTTTATAAACTTCCAAAAATAATTAACAACGTCTCCTGGTGAATTTCAAAAAAAAAACCTAACATTCGTCAAATCTGATTAGTCAAATGGAATTGATTATGAATTCTTTTTCGTTGTGTAGCTTCAAACTAGTAGAAAAGAAAATGGAAACAAATTATAGAAAACACGACAAACGTAATAATAACATAGTTGACAAAAAAAACAATTCGCTTGAGGTAAATGTACTAATATAAGTATAACAATCAATATTATTTTTTAAATAAAATTTATCTAATCTAAAGTTTCAAAATAGAAATATTAAAAGAGAGTCTAAACAGGGTCTTCGTCCAATTTAAATACGTTTTATATTAAAATCGGTTTGATTTCCTAAAAATAAAAAACATACCGAATAGAGTGAAAGTTTTCAGCGACACGCAGTATATTAAAATTGGTTGTGTAAATAACTAACAAAATGTCTTCCCGAAGACAGATCGATAGTATGTTGTTTAAAACAAAATAAATAAAATAGCCTTATTAGCATGTAAAACATACATTCGTGTGTAGAAATATGTGTCTTAAGCCGAAACGAAAAATAATCTAATTTCAGCTTAGAATCTCGGACAATTTAGTTTCTTTAACTTTCTTTCGATGATTTATCTTTACCAAAAGGGCTTCCTTTAACTATCTATAACTTCATTGGTGACTTTCCTTATTTCACTTAAGAGACAAAACGAGAATAATCATCCTACAATTTGAGATTTTCTTTGGTTTGTAGTGAGAAAAACTATTTTCCTCTAACGAATATAATATACAGGGCTATCGCGTATGAATAAACAATGATATTTTGAAGCATTAGATTGTGTATGTACCAATTTGTATATTGTGGAAATATCAATTTTCTAAAATTATGTACTATTTAAAGTTATATTTTTACGGTCGTGTAAATTTATCCGTTAATTTTCCGCGATTGTTCAAATAAGATGCAACAAATTCAATAATCAAAATCAATTTAACAAAAACTGAATAAATCAAATTTTATACTTTTTAGAAAATCGATGTTGATTCGAACGAATTAATTTGTATGTAAAAAAGAGTTACAATCACTTTGAGTACAATCATTTAATTAAGCCTTCTTACTAATGTATATGTTATTGCTCAAAAAGTACGAGGGTAAGGTAAAAAGTTCTCGGCCTGACAATTTTTAGTTGAAAAATTATATTATTCTTCTTGTTAAATCGAAATCTTTAGTTCAAGACAGTTCTGAATGATTATGGAGCGTTCTAAGCAGTTCTATTGGGTTCTGGAGCGTTGTAAATGTTTCTAGGCAGTTCTAAATGATTCAGAACCGTTCTAAATGGTTTTGAAGTGTTCTAAATGATTCTAGACTGTTTTATATGATTCTGGAGCGTTCTGAATGACTATGAATCGTTCTAAATGGTTTTAAACGGTTCTAAATGGTTCTAGATGATTCTAAATGTTTCTGGAGCGTTCCAAATGGTTCCAGACAGTTCTAGAATGTGCTGGTTGGAGCGCCCCCAGTGTATCAGGCCGAGAACAGTTTACGCTACCCTCGTATCTAATACGTTATAACGTTTGATTAAGATTACAAACGCTAAGTTATACCTAATTTAAGTACTTTTTTCGTACGTTGTTTTTTAGAGGCAATCGATTTATTACATCGATCGCTTTAAATCGATCAATCGAAGGCGCCGATCGCGCGCTTGCGCCGTCGAGCTTCAATAGATTCCATGATAACCGAGTAGGACGAGCTTTTATATGTGAGTGATCGCCCAAACGATCGATCGAGCTTTCGATAATTTTTTTTTTCCTTTCTGTATAATATCGGCGCAATTATAGATTTCGATATACATATAGTAAGTTCGGGATAATGCCGTGATGACGTCACGAGTTACTTGATCCGGGTAAATTGTTGTATTTTTTATACCTCATCGAATGTAGCTTGGCGGTTGGAATTTTTGAGGAAAAATTAATAAGATCGTGAAGATTTCCAGTGGTGTATTTTCAGAGGTATTTAAATATTTTTTTTCGTTAATTTCTTGATTATTTATCAATTTAACATGTACAAAAGAAGGTTATTGACGCTTAAACTTCTCCCTTAGTACATTTTCAAGTGCCAAGCTACATTCGATGGGGTATACTCTTAAAATTTTATCTAAAAGAAATATTTGTTGTGACGTCATTGTCGTGTTAAATTGAACGTCGTTTAGCATTCAAATTTTACGTATTGTTGGGAGATACTGTGTCCTATTATTGTTGATTATATTTATGATTTTTAAGTAAACGTTACGATGACTATAAATCACGTATATTCGAGGATATTTTATAACCCGCCTAAAAAAAAAATAACCGGCCGAATTGTTAATTAAACACGCGATTTCCTTTTAATTTGTAGGAACATTACACGTTCAGGACTCAGTGTGTACAAAGATTAAAAAAAAACGAAACCAAATGAAAAAGCCTGTTACGAGCGTTTATTATATAAAAACACAAAATTGGTACATATCGATTTCAAATAAATAGAATACGGAAAACTATCACACGTGCTATTTTAATCGACGGTTGCCCAACAGCGCGTAGCACTGTTTCAGCGCCTCCTGCATCTCCGCGAACGCCCTTCCCGGCGCCGCCTCCGCCTCGACGCCGCCCATCAGCGGCGGCAGTTTCGACGCCAGGGCGGCGGCCGATCGCCTGGCGCCCGCGCTCAGCTTCGCCAAATCCTCGTCGGCGAGGCCCGACGCAGCGCCATCCCGCGGCAGCGCTTCGAACAGCGGCCAGTCGTCGGAGCAGGCGCTGCACGAGCAATCGAAGAAGTACTGCTTCTTCAGGCTCTCGAGCCTCTCCGGTTTGGACGTTATCGCGAAATGGTACCTGTAATAATGTAAGTATTGGTGCAGTAGATGTAGGTGGACCGATGGAGAAGTACTAGGGAAGCACTAGAGTAAATCTAGAAGCACTAGGGAAGTTCTATAGTGAATCTGGCAGTAGTAGAGGAGTAATAGAATGAATCTAGAAGCGCTTGACAAGTTCTAGAGTGAATCTGGAAATAGTAGAGAGGCAAGAGAATGAATCTAGAAGCATTAGAGAAGTTCTAGAGTGAATCTGGAAGTAGTAGACGAGTAATAGAGTGAATCTAAAAGCACTACACTAGTTCTATAGTGAATCTGGAAGTAGTAGAGAGGCTATAGAATGAATCTAGAAGCACTATATTAGTTCTAGAGTGAATCTGGAAGTAGTAGAGAGGCTATAGAATGAATCTAGAGGCACTATAGACATTCAAGAGTGAATCTAGAAGCGCTACAGTGAATTTAAAGGTACTAGAGATGGACGAGCGTGAATCTAGAAGTACTAGAGCTATTATCGATGTTCTAGAGAAGCAACAGAGTGAACCTAGAGGTACTAGGGAAGCGATAGAGTGAATCTTGAGGTACTAGAGAAGCGATAGAGTGAATCTAGAGATACTAGAGAAGCAATAGAGTGAACCTAGAGATACTAAAAAAGCAATAGAGTGAACCAAGAGGTACCAGAGAAGCAATAGAGTGAATTTAGAGACATTATAGAAGCCTACATTGCGAATCTAGAAAATAGCGGAGGGAGCAACCAGCGGACGAATCTATCGCCATCATCAACTCACCCGTAATTATCGCGACATTCCTCCCCTTCGGCGATCCTCCTGATGGCCCTGACGACGATGGCGCGTCCGTGACAGTGCCTGGCCACGTTCGGATCGCAGCCGTGATTGAAGAGGCTGAGAAACGCGTAGGCGCCGGCGCCGATCTCCGCCGTCCGATGGACGCCGTCGCCGCCGTCGCTCGGCGCCGATTCGGAGATCTCGTGGAAGTTGCACGGCGCCGTCTGCAGGTGCAGCATGAGGACCTCGTCGAAGAGGTCTTCCAAACCCGAGGCTTCGAAGAAGCTGGTGTGCTTGTGAAGCAGGTGGTGGATCGCGGCGGCGGTGGCGGCGCGTTCGAATAAATCCGCTACGGTCCTGCGCTCCGTGTTGGCTACCAAATCGTGGATTTCCGCGTACCTGTCGGATTTGTAGAGACCGGTACGACGAGCGCTGGGTATTTCTTTAACTCCCAGAGCTATTTTGAAGGGTAGTAATTGCATTTTGGTGAGTCCTAGACTCCTCAGTGTTTTTAATATGCTGCATTCGTATTGGTGGTACTCCAACGCTTCGGTTCTACAAGCATCGTCGCAGTAGAATACTTCTGTACATTTGCTACACGGTAGTAGATTGTAGCAAAGCTTCAAGCACTCGTGGCAGTGGATGTAGTACTCGGAGCTCAGTAGGCTGCTATAGGGCTCCTCTACTGCTAGTACTTCGCCGATTTGTATGTCTCTGGTGGCGATGATGTGGCGCCCTTGTGAGGGAGAAGTAGCTATTTCGATCGAATCGGAAGCGCATTCTATCGATTTGGATTTGAAGGGTTCCGGAATGACTGGAACCGGTAGATAATAAGGCGGGTAAGTTTTGGATTCGAGTAGTTTCAGCGCGTTGTCTTTGCGCCTCAGTAACTTGGGCTTCAAATCGTCCGGGTAGCCGTTCTCCAACGCTCTATCGATGTCCTGAAATCGAAACGTGTTGCCGGTTATCGCACGAGTAACAGGCCGAATTTGTGACTTACGGTGAGGCATTCTGGGTACAACTGCAGTTCGAAGAGGGCGGCCGATCGATTGGCCAGGGCTTTGGAGTAGTTTTGGGGGGTTTCGGCGTGGGCCAGGCTCTGCGTGTAGGAGTCTATGGCGTCTTTGAGTCGGCGCCGTTTGAAGTGTTCGTTGCCGCGTTCTCGCGTAGTCGCGGAGGTTCGGTCGTTTTTGGCGTCGCTAACGAGTCGGGGAAGTACGGCGGTTTCTTCTAGTAGGCCGCGGACGAAGGCGACTCGATCCCCGTTGGAATGCAGCCCGGCGAAATGTTTCGAGACGGTTTTTATTCGATCGTTTTCGGCGAGGTTTTGTTGGAGGTTTTTGATGATTGAGTTGATGTTCATGTTGTTTGTTGTTTATCTGGAATAAGTATCTAATTAGTCGTCTAAAATTGTAGATTTTGTGTGTGTAAAAAAACTCGATGATTAGGCAACTACTATTACAAAAAATTCTTATTTTAGAAAACACTTAAATGTACCAAGGATTGTTACCTTTTTACTTTAATTTACGAGGACTTTTATATTTCCATTGACATTCTAACCTTTCTATATCTCCCAGATTAGATAAAAAATAAACGTAAACACTATCATTATTTAAGGTCACCAAATCCCAACTAGCGCGTTTGAAAGTATTAATAAAAGTTTACGATTTCATTTTTTCGTCTATTTTTGTCCTCGAGTAACAGATACAGTTGTGTAGATGGCGCCACTGTTTAACGAATAATTACATGACCCGTATTACATAATATATGCATAACACAACCAGTGAGTATCAGTGTAATATGAATTGGTAATTGACTGAAGTATAATTGAATATAATTCGGTATTTATTGAGTATTAAGTGTAAAAATTGTATTTTTCCAAACAGTATTTCCTCTTTTCGATATACCGCCTTTGACTGTTCGTCGCATCAGCACATAAATAAGAGCGCACTCTACCTGTCACCTTGTCACCTACAAATGACAAGTTTGACAGTTTTTGCCATATTTCGTATTTTACGGTAGCTTTACAGAATTTTAAAACATTCAAACTACTCTAAAAAAAAAACCGAAGGTATCGTATTTACATCACAATTCATGAATTAACAACGCCTCTATCCGAAATTTCAACCGCAACACCAGCCATGGGCGACCGGTTGAACAAACCGACCATGGACCTGTCGCGGTTCTACCAGGCGCAGCTCTTCAAAACCATGAACCTCACGCAGAAGAACAAGTTCTGCTCGAAGAGCTGCTTGGGCAAGAACAAGGGCTTCTGCGAGTGCGGCGACGACGTGGGGGTGTTCTACTGGCGCTGGTCCACCGGCCACAGTTCCTCCGACATCCGGGCCACCAACGACAGCCGGGACATTCTCTTCCATCCCTGCTACAGCTCGGGCACCGCCGTCGTCAGGGGCGACGAGCTGTTCAGGCCTAACGTACACTACTTCTGGGAGGTGATGATGACTTCCAAACTGTACGGGACCGATGTGGTAAGCCTAACTATATTCTTATTAACTAGTATTTATTGTTAATTCGTGTAATTTTTAGATGGTGGGTGTGGGTACACCGAACGTGGATTTGCACCGATGCAAATTGAAATTCTGCAGTTTGCTGGGCCTCGATTCGGAATCGTGGGGTTACTCGTACCACGGCAACGTCCAACACAAAGGTTTAACGCATTTATACGGCGATAAATTCGGTATAGGCAGCATCGTAGGGGTGCATTTAGACATGTGCCGAGGCACTCTAGAATACTATTTAAACAGAAAACCGCTAGGTAAAAGTCCGCTCGATTACCTCGCGCGCAAAACACTAATCGTACACTTCCAGGTATCGCCTTCACCGGCTTGAAAGGCTACGATTTGTACCCGATGATATGTTCGACGGCGGCTCAATCGTCCGTTCGACTGGTCTGCTCGTTCTCCGAGGAACCGTCGCTGCAGATGCTGTGCCTGCAGTTGATCAACGGTCGGCGGGACCTCTACGAGCACTTCCAAACCGTGCCGGGCCTGAAGCGGCTCTACGACAGGAAGTACATTTGGATCGTGCCGACGTTTCGTAAGGCCTCCGACCGTCAGGCCGTGCGCCACAAGCGTCTCTATGTAAACTGTATGATTTCCAGTTAGATCGGCGAAGGGGCTCGCTCGGCTAGATCGGGAGGTGTTTCGGGCGAGCGAGGAACGTCGGCGGGAAGAAGAATGGTGCGACTCGGACGGTTCTTCGTACGAATCGGAGACGGCCTCGCCGGATGTTTCGATCTACGATATCGACGAATCGCTCGGCGAAAGTTCCTCGACGGACTGCGATGCGGATGCGGTGGGTCGTTATTAGATAAGTGTGAACGTTTTGGGATAGTTTAAGATTAAAATGGACGTGCGACGTAGTCGGAGGCGTCCGATTAAACGTGCTGCATGTTTTAAAACGTACTTCGAAACGGGTTAAATGATTCTACTTACGAGGGTAAGGTGAAAAGTTGTCGGAGCGGCAATAAAAGACCGTCATTTTTAGTAGTTTCTTTTTATTAAGTCGAAATCATTAGTTCGAGGAAGTTTTACATGATTCTGGGACGTTCTATATTCTTCTACACAGTTTTAAATGAGTCTGGAGCGTTGTAAATGGTTTTAAACAGTTCTAAATGATTATGGAGCGTTCCAAATGGTTCTAGACAGTTCTAAAATGAATTATAAATGTTCCGAGAACTTTTCGCCCTACCCTCGTATGTATTGTTCTGTTAATTACATAGTTTGTGTAATATGTAATATACAGCAAAGTGACAATCAGTGTTGTTAAGTAATTAATTACAAGTAATTGAAAATGTAATTGAATTACTTTTATTGTAATTGAGGCGGTAATTAATTACAAACTCCTCAATTGTAATTCATTTGTAATTTAATTACTCCTTTCGTTACAATTACATTTCAATTACATTGGACACAAAAGTACTTATTTAATATTTTCAATACATGGAAAGTTTAATTCCGATTGCAAATCCCTAAATAATTATTTAAAACTGACACCAAAACAAAGTAATTGTGAGTGTAATTGTAATTGTAACTTTAATTGTGATTGCAATTAATTACAAATTGCCAAAAGTCATTGTAATTGTAATTAATTACATATTATAAAGTAATTTTAACATCACTGGTGACAATATATTTGGAATACTTTTGTATGTGATTGTAGTTAATTGGCGATCTGGATAGTTTTAGTATCGAGGAAAATTTATGAAAAATTCCGCGTTGTTTCTTGTTTAGTTTGTTTTTTTTTAAGTTTCTTCTAAATCCTTATTGTACGTTGATTAAAACATGAATTTTTATCTTTATTTTGCGCAGTTTTTAAATTTTATAATAAAATTAACTACTTGGTTTATTAGTAACGTCGGATTCGTTCAAACTTTCCTATCCCTCGTATAAAACACCCGAGACATGATAAAGACAAACCACTTGGAAATTGTCTGTAAATCCGTCGAGAAAAGTTTATTCACTTTATTCTCACGGCGATGCGCTGTCCCTTTTGGTTTGTTACCAGAGTGGCCGAATAACCGCAGTAGCTGAGGCCAAAATCCGAAAAGAAGAAGATGGTAACAAACAGTTTCCTACAATCGGTTTACTATTAGTTCGTCGACAAATTAATAGATGGCGCCACGTGCTTGTACAAATTTTAATAAATAGACATGTCGGCGGCCGGAGCGCTCAGTACCTCCTTTGCCACGGTAGGGGTATGTTGCTCTGCTTGAAGGAAAAATATGCGCAGGATTTTCAAAGTCCTCATCTTCATAAATGAGCATAGTAAATGATGGATGTTGGATAAATTTGTTGCTCCGCCATCCTCCCCCTCCGGTGCCACCCTTTTACTATACTTTCTTAAGTAACCTAAGCATACGTTAATGTGCGCGATGTGTTGCAAAAAGTTTTGGCGCCATCTATTGCATTTTTGTCGAACTTGAAATCGCGTCGCCTACTGCTCGAACTTGGAATAATGGGGTCCGCGATAAAAGCATGTACCAACTCCGCATAAATTAATATAATATGCTTATTACAAATTATCTTTACCAATTTTTCAACGCGAATTTGGGATTTCATGTTAGGAGAGCATAATAAATAAAAATACGTTATTTCCTTGACGAAGCTTTATAATTCTTTCAACATCGTCAAATATAAAACATCTTTCACATCAATTTTTAACAAATTATCAATTCTATACAATAACAAAATCGCAGTAAAAATAAATTATCATATGATACATAGTATATTAATAGAGGTGTTCTTATTACCAAGAAAAGTTTACCATAGGATTAAAATAGCGTTACCTTTCTCTGGTCCATAAAATTTTATACTCCCTGGGCCATATCAGGTTGTTTAAAAACTCCAATTTTTCGCTCGTGTACAGCAAATTCGCCCAATCGCAGAACTTCACCACCGATACGTTGTAATTCATCATTTCCAAGTGCTTGATTTTCATTTGATAGGTCCCCCTCAAATGCGAGTAAAACCTCGTAAAAGCGTGTTGTTTCAAAATCAAAATCGCCACTCTACAAACAAAAAAATTTAGAATATTATTCAAAGAGTGATGATTTTCGAAATAGTTACCGTTTCGCGACCGATCCGCATTCGGACGAAACGACCTTATTTTTCTCGTCTAAATTGACCACGAAATCTATTCGATACCCGTACGGAACCGTCACATTTTCCTGAAGCTCCTTGCCGGTTATTTCTATCAAATATTCTCTCATAGATCTCGGCGAAACGTATTCAGTAACATCTAAAAATTCGATTTTACACGTTATTTTATATAAAATAATAGCTTTAAATGAACTCACAACGAGCGTGCAGGTCTTTGACGTATTTATCGTGGAACCAAGGCACGTTAAATTCCGGATATTCCAAACAAACCGTCCTGTTCAAGTACATCAAAGTGTTTCGGACTCGCTGGGGATATTTCTCCTACAATTGAGTGCGCTGTTAGTGAAATTAATTTATACTGCATTATCGCATTACCTTAGAATAACAATTGGCCAATTCGTTATCCAATCTATCCATGAATTCGACGTTGAAGATCTGCTTGACCAGGAAACTGGGCAATTTGTTGAAGAAACTCAACGATAAAGCGCTCTGCAAGAAGGCCAAACCGCTCAGTCTTTCTTGATCCCTAAAATACCAAACGATTCCCATTTAAAATAGTTGTTTATAATCGAACTAAAGATGTAAAATTTTCACCAAACATAATTTTAAGTCTAGTATTGAAGTCTACAAAGTAGCAATCTTCTAGCTCATCTCAAAGGGGTCGATTTACTCCTTTGAATGAGTCGATGAACAAAAAAGAAACTATAATCTTTATTGGTTGATTGGAAAGCTATAAAATTGTCTATAATCGAACTAGACATGTGAAATTTTCACCAAATATAGCCTCAAGTCTCGTCTTAATGTCTACCAAGTAGCCAACCAGAAGATTTGTCTGGGCCTTTAGTAAAAGTACTAATCTAATTTACAACATACTCTAAACTCACCTAATTATAATGTCGGTTACGGCTTGGAAAAACTTATCAGCATTTATGGGAAAATACGCCACGTAGAAACAAAGAAACAGCACCTTTTCCGCGTTGAAAGCGATAATGTTGCTCTTATTCCTAACAATATACTCGGTGATTTTGTTGTAAACCTCCGGTATCACGATACCGGTGTTCAAAAATACGTAAGAAACGTTCTCGAGCAACTTCGAGCTCATGTAATCCAATTCCTTGAACCCCAACAGCGAATCCTCGACGAAACGATCGACGTCCTTCTCCCTCGACACCGCCGCTTTGATCAAAAACGAATTCCTCTCGAACGACCCGCCGTCCTCGCTGATCAAACATCTACTGCTTTCCTTCAATAAATCTCTAATTTCGTCGAAATCTTCTTCGGTGCAGCACTCGCTCTTGCTCGCGCACGATTGCGACAACAACGAGATTTCTCTAGTTTTCAATTGCCTCGGATTATCCTTCAATTTGTCGAGTAACTCTCGAAAGAGCCCTCTATCGTCGCTGTAATGCACCACAAACGCCAGAAATATACTTATATCTTGCGGTAATATCACATCACCTCTTCCGACGATGTTTTTTATCGCATCGAGTACTCGCTTTTCGAAGTCTACATTCCTGTAACTATCGATGTCGATGCTGAATTGCATGTAGTTGAAGCACGATTTCGATACCACGTGGTTATCGTCGTTTTGTTTTAGTATATCGCTCCAAATATCCCAGTATTTCGTGCACAATTGCTTGTCGGATACTTTAACGTGCGAGAATATCTTGCGAATGAGTATCAAATCTCGCATCTCTAGCTTGGAGGGCATTAATTTATCAACGCCGTTGCGAAGTTGCACTCGATGTAAAGGCGACGAGAAGAATAGCAAAGCAGAGTATAATTTTAGAGTGGTGTTGACGTCCTGCATGCCGGTTTCCTCGTACTGTTGCCAGAATTTCGCGGCGGATCTCTGGATGTTGTCGAGCAGCTCGGCCGGTTCCTGGATCTTAAAAAACACCTAAAAAAAAAACACAACGATTAACACAACATAAATTGGCGTATTTCGTTACTTACATCGTAGAATAGTAGAAGGTAAGGGATGTCTAGTTTGTGTAGGGAGTTCTTCATTAACAGCATACATTTCGATATCAGTTCCACGTGTTTTTCCCTCCAAGGGAGCAGATTCAGGAAGGATATTATCATTAGAATAGCGTGCGAATTGGAGGAGTCTAGCTTCTTTTTATCCAGGAATCTCTCGAGTACTTTTACGTAATCGCTTAGTATCGAGGGGGTTACGATGCCGGCTAATTTGTTCAAACAGGTGGATATGTTCGAAAAATCCTCCACGGAATCGCAATTATCTAAAAAAAATTAATGTTAGTAGAGTATTAGGAGTTTATTCGAAGTATACAAACCTAGTGCTTTTAATATTTTAGGGATTAAATTCATCGACATGTAGTAGGGTCGAACGCTGCTCTCCAAAAAGGCCACCCGTAGAAATTTGCTGCATACAGCCAAGTTGAAGTCCTCCTCTAAATCTCTCTTCAGTTTCTCGCCGATTTTGAGCATGCATTCTTCGTCTGCGTTCAGTCCTAATCGACTCAAATACAAATAAACGTAACTCAAATGATTCGTATCGAAATTATCCAATCGATTTACGATTTTATCCAACAAATCTATAAATATTCTACTCATTCTCAGTTGTACGAAATTAGTGAAATCCCACTTTCTTGACTTCCATAGCGAGATTTGTAGATCCTTCAGAACCAATATGGCTTGAGTGATTTGCTCGTTAGTTAAACTATTATTATATTTTTCTAAAATCTTCCACACATCCTCCAAGCTGTTGCAATCGTTTAATTCTCGTATAACCGCATCTTTGGTATCTCCGAATAGAATATATTTCAAACCCTCCGTTAAATCGACGGTTTCGGTTTCCAATTCTTCGGGTTCCTCATCGTTTTCTGTCGAGTATTTTCCGATGTTGTACTGATTTAATTGCGTGCTTATTTTGTAGTTGCAGATATTCGGGCATCGAACCGGGACAGCCGGTATAAAACTGCTAAAATACGTTTTGTTTCTTATAATACGTACTACTCTAAATAGTTTCATTTTTAAAATAAAGTGAGGTTAGGTTGTTCTATCAAACGTCAAATAGGCGGTCTCGTATTATATAGTTATTCAGATACTACTCAATGTGTGGCTGATGAAAGATTCTAGTAAAGGCCACTATTACAAACTAACAGAAGAAGAAAACAGACCTTATTTTTAAATTGTGGATAAGCAAACAAATAAACTTAATAAACATGAGAAACGTTGAAATAAAAGCAAAAATACGTAATTTACTCAAACTAATGGAAGCGGTAAACAATTTAAAACCCGTTAGTAGTGAAATTATTAACCAACACGATACATTTTACAACGTTTCACACGGTAGATTAAAATTACGCGATTTTACAGTAAGTAGATAACTACAAATACATAAATTGTTAAAATACTTACTTTATAGGATGATACAGGAGAATTGATTTTCTACGAGCGTCCTGATCACGAGGGCCCCAAAATATCTCTGTACGAAAAAACAGCTATTTCTGGATGTAAGGACGTGCACAGAGTCTTAAACAAAGCATTAGGCTCCAAACAAATCGTCAAGAAACATCGTCAAGAAACATCGCCAAGTCTTCATAATTGGACAAACACGGGTTCACGTAGACGAAGTCGAAAATTTGGGAAATTTCGTGGAATTGGAGGTTAATTTTTTGAATTTATTTTTTGACGTTTGACGTTTGTGAAAAATGTCGCCAACATTGAAAATCGATTTACACTAAATTTGGTTTTTTTAGGTGGTGTTAAAAGATGATCAGTCTTTAAAGGAAGGCGAACAAATTGCTAATAATTTAATGGATAAACTGGGAATTCATAAAAGCGATTTAATTTCCGGCGCATATGCTGACATGTTGGTTAATTAGTACCGATTTTTATTGACAGATAATCGATACTTGTACTGTCAGTATTACTGGTTTTGTAATACATATTTTTACATAATAAATCTTTATAAAATCTTAATAAACCTTTATATTTATTTTATTTAGTGCTTTTTTCCACAACGAATGTATTACTTTACAATAAGTGAATAATCGATTATTATAATTGATCGTTTTACGTCAAATATTAAAAAAGAAGAAGATAACGTAAATAAAAAACATAACCTCACTTTCGTCGATGAAAAAGTTGTTTTTAAAATGTTTTATCATTTTTATCGCACTTTAGCGATTGTTGCAAACAAAACATCGTCGTTGCTTCGATGAAAAAGCGTTGACAATGCCCGTGGGACCAAACGTAGCTGAAACTCCGAGATTCGCCAGATTTCGCAAATTCACCGAGACATTATTCTACATTCTACTATTATGCCTCGTTTATCCGATAACGTTCGATCAAACGGAACGCACATTTCAAACGTATTTGCGCAATTTCAACAAGTCTTACGAAAACGAAGAAGTTTACCGACAGAAATTCGAAGCTTTTAAGGTATGTAATCGAATCAATTTGCTACGTATCCTCCTTTAAATTCTAATTACAGGAATCCCTAAGGCGTATAGATGAACTAAACTCATACATGAAAGATGGTTCAATCGTATACGGATTAACTAAATACTCAGATATGTCCCCAGAAGAATTTTCGAGTTCCAAATTAGTTTACAAACGACCTTTCCAACCTATCGAAAGCCTCTCAAAGAGGTCTTTAAACGAATTGAAATTTAGCAAATTCAATAATCTACCTCTCAAAGTAGATCTAAGAGAGAAGAATTACGTATCGGAAGTACTAACGCAAGGTTCTTGCGGAGCTTGTTGGGCCTTCTCCGTTATAGGAATCATCGAATCCACTAAAGCTCTACAAGATGGTAAATATTAAGTTAATTCTAATATTGTAATTGTAATTGTAATCTTTTAAAGGTAACCTAACGAAATTAAGTATACAACAAATGATCGATTGCTCGTACTACAATTTCGGTTGTACGGGCGGCGACATTTGCTCGTTATTAGATTGGCTAGTGACCTACAACATCGAGATCACCACCGAAGAGGCCTATCCTCTCAAACTACGAACCGAACCGTGCAACCCTCCGAGATCCAATCGAACGACCAAGCTCCGATCGTACGATTGCCGCAGCTTCGTGCAAAGAGAGCAGCTCATGCTGCACCACGTGGCGACCCGCGGCCCCCTGGCGGTGGGAATCAACGCGGAGAGTTGGCAGCACTACATCGGGGGCACCATTCAATATCACTGTTCGAACGTGGCCTCTTCTTTGAACCACGCGGTGCAGATAATCGGCTACGATCTAACGGCCCCCGTGCCTTATTACATCGTGAAGAACTCCTGGGGGGAGGATTTCGGCGAGAAGGGCTACCTGAAGGTGGCTGTGGGAAGGAACCTGTGCGGGCTGGCGCACGAAGTGGCCTCCGTTAGGGTGTTGTAAACGCCATGTTGATATTATTGTACCTGTTATAAGATGAATAAATCGAGTTATATAGTTAAATATGCGTTTCCTGTAATTTCATAGCGTATCGGTGAAGCCTACGGTTGTATATTACTAAGGTTTGAAAAAGTGTCGCGTTATTTGAGGATAAAACGGGGTTCCTAAAACGGCCGCTAGGAGGCGATGTTGTAAAGGACGCGATTTTTTGCGTACGAATTATATAGAATTCGCAAGAAAGGTTATATTCAAACTAAAAATAGATAGAAAATATAAAAATATACCTAAATCAGCGATGATTTTGTTGTTCACATCACGCCTCACGTATCTTCTCCATTTTCTCCACGAAATGTCAAAAAATAATTTTTGAAGTTTTGACAGCTCGAACTGTCGTTTCACACAACCGCGATTTATATGTAGCGCGTCGCTGATTGGCTGAGATGAGTTGATCCTCCGATCGTTCGCCGCGGTGCGGCGCAAAAGTGAAGCTCAAAAAGTCTTCGAATAACGGGACACATTCTCTAATGCATAGGCATAGGGAGATTTCAGACCTTAGAAATGTACGGCCGCGGTGAAGCCCTAGGTGAGAGGGGCGCGACATCCGGTCGTCTGGTGGAATCCTCGAACTTGATTCTCCAGTATCTCGAGAACGCGATACACCTACCTACCTACCTATTAAATTAAGAAACCGATTCCCTTGACCTTCGGGTGAATACCTGAGCTGGGTACGATCGCGTACAATAGAAGGAATGCGGTGGAAAAGATGGGCATTTCTTATAATTCTATACAGTCTCTCGTAAAGTCTACCCTTATGGGTCTGCGGAATGCTATAGGGGAGATGGTAATTTTGGATGAGATAAAATGTGTCGAGAGATTGGGATACTTAGGTAATTTGGTGGTGTTTGAAAATTTTTGATTATTTGAGAGTTGTAGAGGATTGTTTTTGCTTCGAAATAATGAAAATTTCGGTATTTTATGTCGATTGGTTTTCGAGATAATTGAAGTTTTTTAAAGAGCGGCACTAAAATTGGTTTTTATGTACTCATTTGAGCCGTTATTCAGCAAACCAAAGGTGCTTGAAAAAATTAAACAAAATCATTACATTTGTTGTACGTTTCAGAGTTTATCTAATAAAAGCGGAGGGAATTAAGCCCAATTTAATTCAATGAAGTTTGATTCGGAATTCACGGCACATTTTCGCGATATAAGCGCGTTCGCGTTTCGAATTGCAATTAATAAAAATCGTTTAATTGTTCCATTTCGTTGTTAAATTTAGAAAAGACAATCGGAATTGCTTTTAATTAATGTTTACAACGCGTTGTTGCAAATGTACCGGTAAATCGGTAAAAACACGTCGACGTGGCAACGCCGCATCGTTAGATGAAAGGAAAAATAAAATTGAAGCAAATGAAATGCTTTATTAGATATACACCACTGCAATAAATACACGCTTTATAACAAACTGATATGACTTAATCATCAAAAGTACTGTTTTTTTTACGTAAAAATACGAAAATTCAAAAACGAAATAAAATATAATATCGAAAAATTTCAACGAGGACTTCAAAGAATCATACGATTAGTTTAAATTTAATTTTCATGTTGAAAATCGCCCAAAAAGACGTTCGTGGGTCGTTCGTAAATTCTTTTCGGAACGTTTTATGCAACATTTATACGGGGGGCCCCGTAAAAATACCCTTAAAATTGACCTGTAAAACTATTGACTAGGCACACTTATATATAACAAGAAATTGTCATGAAAAAATATAAACTTTTTCGACAATAAATAAAAAAACCAAAATTGGAAAATATTCACTCCTGTATGGCAAATACATTTCCAATTTTTCGATATAAATAAAAAATAAAAGCAATAAAATACAAACCCCCCGGATATCCGCGGGGGCTCTTACAACGGTTTTCTTTTTTAAATTTTAAAAATAGTTTATATTATTACATCAACATATAAATTATTTTTGTTTAACATTACCAACAGTGTATACATGGAATGTTTTTTTTTATATAATTAGCCAGATAATGTGCTCCACTAAAAAGTTTTTCGAGTGACACATAATTATAGTAAATATCAATATAACGATCATATACAAAATAAATTTATCGAAATCCGATTTTTTATTGAAGAAAACTACCACCGTCGACTTTCACATCGCATCATATTCTCAGCGAGCGCCCTCTATTTCGAATCGAAAACTGCATATAGTTCGTTCGCGCTAACCCAGCGATGACGTCACGCCTTTTTTCTGATCAACGGCGACGCAAAAGCCCGACGGAATGTTACAGCTAAGTATTCAATAACATTTTTGATTTAACAACAGTTTTATTTTTTTTTTTTTGGAAAAGTATATCATTTCTTTTGCTAACAAGTGGAGAACAGCGAGTTTATTGTCCACTGCCGCAAGTAAAAAAAGGAGGAAAACGAACGGGTGCGCGTCCGGTTGTGGAAAGAGAGGAAGTGGGTGTGCAAGCGCATGCGCGGAAACTCTACAACTAGGCCAAGCAGGTTTACCAACACCTTTTTTAACGGAAACTATATAAAACACCGCGCGTTAGGTCGTAGAAACAATCGTTTGTTAGACCTAAAGCGATAGGCCAGATCGGTGTTAAATGAAAAACACTTCTATAGCTTAACTTCTAGCTTTTTTTTAGACACATCTCGTAACAAATATAGCTCAAAAATATATTACATACGATATCGCTAAAAATTTTGCAATCGTTTTTTTTTTTACACTAATGCATCAATCAGTCTTCAAGAGAGAAAGTGATATGGAAATTTAACAACGGAGGATGCATTTTTTCGTAATAATAATACATATATTGGCACTACTCGGCGGTTCTGCAAAATTGTCAACTGTCACTCGACAGTGTCACCAACTGTTTAATATAATCAACAAATTATTTCCCAACACTAACAAAGTTTACGATTTCAATTTCATTTCAATGAGGCATCTAAGATATTCTTCTTCTTCTTTTTTTTTTAATATATATCACAAAAACACGACTACTCGGTTCGTCTTACAAAAAATGCACCCCGATTTCGTAAAAAACACATGCAACAGTTACTAGATCGATCGATTATTATGATAATCGATATATCGGAGCAATCTCGATCGCAGTTGGCCTGCGCTCGTTTTCCATATCGTACTTAAGTTAGGCGCGAAAGCACGCTATAAATGTAGCTCTATAGCTTCGTTTCGGTCGTATTTTAGTGAGATTTCGAGAGCATCGAAAAGGGGGGGAAAGCGCGACAGCACAGGAGCAATAAATATATATATACCGAAAGAGGCGGAAGCAACGTAAGAAGCACATTATCGGGGGAAAATCGACGCCGTTTTTCGGGGGTTTCCCCCTCGAACACGGCGCGGATATGTGTTGAATTCGATTTTCTAACACACACTAAAAGTTTTCTTTTTATCCGTTTCGACGCGGAACGTCCGTTTATTCACTCACCGGACTGGTTTTTGCACGGCTAACTTCACGCTGTTTGTTTGGATGGCTGGATGTCTTGCGGACAGAAGGCCTCGATCAGTTATTGACAACTGATTCAGATGTAATAAAGAATTAAGTAGGAAAGATTGAACATTTGATTCATAGATTTTGCTCCATTTTCGATTGCAATATGGTCATTTCTATGAGTGGAACAAAGAAAGGTTATTAAAATGACAGTTGTCAGAGTGAAAAGTTGTAATGACACAAATGTCACTTTTTAATTTAGAAGATTGTTTAAGGAACAAGAATTGTAATAAAGCGTTAGTTAAATAACAGATTTTTTTAACACTAACTTTACATTGCTGCTTTAATTGGATACCAATGTGAGAAAAGGCCAAAATTTTGTAGAAAATGTAGTGTTTAGTAGAAAATATTGTGCCTAACTTCGCATTGGTACTTTCACTAGTAGCACTTTTTGAACAAGGCCAAATTTTAGTAGAAGAAGATCAGTCGGGTGTTTCTTGAATTCGAACAACTAATTAAAAAACCGATTAAGGCGAGTTTTTTGGGGGATGCTAATGGAATTTCGAAGGGGTGGAATGGGGCGAAAAATTCGATTCGTAATCCGTCTGGAAAATAACACGCGAATGAGTCATGTTCTCGTTACCTCTCCACTCGAACGAGACGCCAGCGAGCAGGGGTGAAAATTATTTTTTATAAATAGATTTTTCGATTCCACTGATGTATAATAGGAGATCAAGAGAAGTATACAGGGTGTTAATTACTAAGTTTGACAAACTTAGGGGGGTGATTCTGTATAAAAAAAATTCGTTTTCAAGATACGGGGTAGTTTTTTCACTATTGAGAAAATAAAAAATACAGGTCAAGATGTTTTATTTTTTTACTCGAAAACAGCGGCCCGTACGGAAAAAACACAAGAGAGTTTTTTTGTCACAAATTGAACGAGGAATTCATTCATAATTGAATTTTCCATAAAAATGCCTCAGTGGCGTACCGATATTAATTTTTTTGTTAAAAAAAATGTATTATTACCCGTATGCGCGTTAATGATGAACATAAAATTTTAAATTTTATGTAAAAAAACGCGTAAAAGTTACCTCTCAAAACCCACCAAATTTCATTTGAATATCTCGTCTGCTTCCAGAGAAATAAATAAATCTTCGGTTTTTAAGAAGAAACTTTAACATACATTTTCATCCAGAATCACCTCCTAAACTTAGTCGCACTTATTAATCAACACCCTGTATAAAACAATTATTACCGAGTTGCGTACACGAATTTAAATAAATTTAATATTAGTAAACCGAAAGAGGAAAAGATTATTAGCCGAATGAGTAATTTTCCGGTTATCTAAAAGGATGCGACGGATTTCGTTTATCTTTCCACACAGATAAGAGGCTAAAAAATCCGAAGGTTTTTCGTTCGCTACATAATTTTCGGCACTCAAAATCAGTCCGATGGTGAATAAACGAGAAAAAAACCGATTCCGAAACGGGATCTAAAACGACACATATAACACGCAAAATGACTATTGCTATTGCGACGTATTGGCAGGAACAATTACGGACAAAGCGGCTATCAATGTATTTTAATGCTATTTTGGCGTGTCCGGCTTCGACCCGCTCGACTAAGGGGGCCCGCGGGTCCGGTCCCGGCGCCCCCGCAGCCCCTAAATGCAGCGCGGGTCGCATCGAGCAGAGTTATTCTCATTTAAAAAATGTGCGGCTCACAACAAGAAAAAACACTTAAATATATCATAATATAATATGTTTGATAAACTTCGAATGCCAGTCCTAACAAGTATCTAAAAAACTACTTTTACAATCAACGTTTCCCGGGGTGAGTGTATAAGCTTATAATATACGGGGGAGCGAGTCATGAGTTGTCGATTTCGCAGTTATCATACAAAAATTCAACATATTTTATAAAAATTACGAACCCTGTTATAGAGACAATTTTGGTACCTAATTCGCTACGAAAATCAACTAATTAATTCAATTTAAATTTCGTTTTTTTTTTTTGGCACAAGTCAAATCGATACGCTATTATTGTCAGTCATAATCAAATTAACAATCTTTCATCTAAACAAAAAAAAACTTGCGAAATCGAGTTATTAATCATTATATCAATCGATTTAAAGTAAAATTAGTATAAACTATAAACCGCCCGGGAAACGTTATACAACCATTAGGGGACGTACAAAGCACATAAAAATACGTTATATTTATATAAAACGACTAGAATATGACGTAAGCAGTTAATTGGTCAGTGAAGTGCAAACTACGAGCAAATATTTTTCTCGGTGTCGCCTTCGCATTGGCGCGACACTTTTTCTCAGCGTATGCGCGGCTCAAAAGTTCAGCTAACAAGCGAGGAGGAATTTGTCTTGGTGTAATGAGTAATGCAGTCATTTGAGTTTACAACACATAGTCTAACGTTTTGGTGTTTTTTGTTTTCAACATTCACGAAACGAAAAAACATTATTTTTTTAATTTAATTAAATCGAAGAAACAGTTATTGCTGTTCGCTGTTGGCAACTTTTCTCTCGATGCTAATGCGAATTTTGTTGGTATTATTGTCTTTTTTTTTAACGTTTTGGTAGAATTGCTGGTTTCGAAAGAGATACGATTCACCGGTAAAAATTCTTCTATCCCGTCGACGAAAAAGAGCCCCAATAGATTCTATAAAAAATATAAAGAAAACGTCCCTTTTGATTCGGTTTTGATTTGGTTCCGAGTCGAGAAAAATTGCCAACGTCAATCGCTCTTAATGCGCGTAAAAACATCATTCCCTTCCGGCAACCGATGGCTCCGAATTCCAAATCCCCCCTAGAAAATGTCAATAAATCCATAGGCGCCAAATCCGGTCGACTAGCCGGCCACTAAAATCCACCACATTCACCCAAAGCCTCTTCATTTACCAATACCATATACAGACCGATTTCTTTCGTTTCTAGTCAATCAGCCTAACAAAAATCGCTTTGTATATTTTCATTTTCAACATTAATCGAGCAAACTTATACAAGAGAATAGACTAAAAAAAAAAAATCACCGTCTACATTTACGAACGCCCTGTATATGGTAGTGATTAACGCGCGACCATTATTCGTTGAATGAACTTGGCTCGGAATGGCGCGCTCGTCGAATATTCCACGACAAAGAGCCAACGAACCGCTCGCGTATTGATCTGTTTGGGTGTTCCTTCCCATGAATGACTCCTGGGGAGGAAGTCTCCCCCGCGTTTCCGTCCCCGACGTTGCCGAGTCTCCCGTCCTCGTCCGGGAATTCGCCGAAAACCGCAACTCCGACCGTTTAGGCCACTCGGTTCGAGGCCATTTAGCAATTTGCACTATTTCAAGTCGAATTGAAGTTTGGCAGGTGTTTGACAGGTGGACTTTGGCTGCTTAGGTTATGCGGTTCGAGTGTATTTGACAGGTGACAAGTGGATTTTAGCTACTCGGTTCTAGTCATTTTGACAGGCTTGGACTTGGGCAATTTGCACTATTTCAAGTCGAATTGAAGTGTTTGACAGGTGACTTTAGGTTGTTCGGTTGGATTTGACGTTCGAGGCGGTCGAATTCGGAGGCACACGGGTTGTACCGGGAGCGTGCGATAAGTAACATCCACCGAATCGGTGCGATAAACGTGATAACATCGGTTTTCGAGGAAGGCATTTCCGATCATCACAGTCTGTTAAAGAGGTTTTCTGTAGTTCAGCGGAAAAACCGGTAGAGGGCGATTAGGTCTTAACGTGTTAATAATTACTAAACGGTGTATATATAGCGTGGACGTTGCGCGTTTAATTAACAGTGCACGGTAATCCTACGATGAGCAAATGTTTTGGGGGGGGCGAGAAAAACGAAGAAAACCGCATGCAAAAGACGAAATTGTGCACGAGGAAAACCGGAATCGACGCGACATCTGGCGGGAGAACGCGTCAGGGAACCAGGAAAACGCGCTCGATTCGACGGGGAAACCCTACGAATATTTAACATAAAAAATAAATAGAATTTGTTGCGTTATGTGTGTGTTTTCATCCAATTAAAATGATATGTTAGGAAGACTTACGATTCGTTACCCACAAAAGCAAAAACTGATTGTCAATTTTGTATGCATGTAAATCAGTCTAACAACTTTCGCGCGCGCCCTCGTACGATTTAGTACCATCGCGCGAAGCTTAAAGTCCCTCTTTTTTAGAAACATGAGAATTATAGTGTGGGCGCTCGGCGCGTTTTCCTGGTTTTTATAGTGCGGAATACTGTCGTCGGGTAGAGGTGCAGCGTGTTCAGCGAAAACCTACATTTATATAAAACACTCTCCACCTGAATTAAACAGAGTTACATATGTTCCCTATTATAATTGACTTTAAGGTTAAAAAACGTAACGTTTTCCTTTCGTATCGGCGACGATGGGCGGCGCGCATCGCAAAAAAGACGGCGAGAATTTTCTAAAAATATTTTGTGCGTTTTTATTTTATTTTTTTTTTCAGTTTGAATAAAATTTCGATTATCTTATCGCGCGACATTGCATTTACACGTATCGTTAACTGGAACTTATTAAACTCCAATTAGGTTTTGACTTGTAAATTAATTTCGCGCTGATAATAATTCACCGGGAGACGTTAATGGAATTCCTGAATAAGCTATTTTATGCTCGCGAGGACTCGATTCCAGGACGAGTATCTTGCCTTTAGAAATCGCGCAAATCCAATTAGGGTTTCTCGGGGATGCAGAATTAACTAGAAATCCACCCATTTTGGAAATATCTAAACGGTAGAATTTATCGGCGAGCTCTTACCGATGAGTTATAGGGGCAAGAAAGTATACTACCTCATCGAATGTAGCTTGGCACTTGGAATTTTCAAGATATCGAATGCGCTAATAACGATACATTTCCAACTGCTAAGCTACATTCGACGAGGTAGAAAATGGGTATTTGTGCAATTAAAACCGTCTCGAGGATGAATCTGATCGGATTATCGGAATGCCGGGAGAATTCTACGTATAAATGCGATGTTGCCGGCGTTCGATCGAAGCGATTTAGAGCGCTTTTAACGTGAGGGGTAAAGGAAATATTGAGCAAAAATCGGTGAATTAGTGGTAATAAATTCGATACTTGGTCGATTCTCGAGGCCTGTTTTGGAGCGATCGCGCCGAAATCGGCCCGGTTAAAGAAGATTCCTTAGCAGAAAAAGATGTGTTGTTTTCATTTTTTAAATTCAGTCTTACCGAAAAACACTCATCCATTCTGAGAGAATGAGAAAACACTGCCTACATATTTTTTTTCATCCATTTTTTTTCTTCAAAAAACTACTATACGCTACTAATACTAGTGACTATGATAAGAAAAAAATCACACATGCCTATACTAGTTATATAGGATTTTTGCATATTTGGGCCCAAGGAAGATTGTTTAAAAGTTTCTTTAAACATTACACAAGCTTTTTATTTTATTTTTTTTTTTTGGTATATAGACCATTACCCAGCTAAAAAAAAAACACATTCATTAAAGCTACGAATTTCATAATACCCACTCAGTATCAATCGAGATTCAAGGACGGTACAGTACAATTTCCCCAAAAAAAAAAATCCACCGGGTTCATTCGAATCGAAAACCCCGTCTTGAACATTCTTAGCTTTAATTCACGCTCGTTTAATAGAAATGGGGAGCCTGGGAAGTGACCTGTTTTCGAGGAATAAATCACTTACGATCTAAGTATGAAAATTTTAAAAAATTGCGCAATAAAACGGCCGTGCCCGCGTTTACTTACCGTACACTCGGGGTAGAAAAAGGTGCATGATGGAAAACCGACGAGGGAGGCTAAATCGCTACGCAAAATTCGCCAGGAAAACTCAAAACAAATCCAGTAGGTACGTGCATGGACCGCTATATGGTTCAATTATAGTCCGTTCGCCATCAGGAGATGCGATTTAATAACCCAGATATAGTAAAAGTTGATGTTTTTTTTGAATTATGTTGTATTATTATTTCGTGAGGGCGAACGGAGTATAAATTAATGCGCATATAAAGGAGACCGTACACTACAAAAAATTCTACGAAAAAAAAAACAAACAAACCATCTTGGCGGCAAAAACGTCCCGCAACCAGTGCACTACTAAATAAAAAGAAAAGAAAAAAATAAATAAAAATACCATATGATAACTGCAAGAATGATATTATTAATTAAAAAAAGCATTTACAACAAAAAAATCAAAGAAAAAACAAAAAACAATGTACATTTAATTTACGAACAAATTTTACGTTTAAATTAATTTATAAAATAACAACAAGTTTTTTTTATAGAAATGCAGCAATAATGCGAGAGAGAGAGAGCCGCGCGACAGGCCCGTAACCGTGAAATTTCCAAGGGAATCCCCGGGGGGGCCGATGGGGGGCCCCGTGGGGGCCGTGCCTGTCGCGGGGCTCCCCGATCGGGGGCTGGTATTGGGGATGAGATCGCTCAGCCCTCGGCAATTTAAGGTTATCGCGCGCGAATCGCCTCCGGATCTCAAAAAACAACAATCATATAATTTAAATAAAAATAAGATAAATTATAAAAAAAAAACCTAATTACGCTGTCGAGATCAAATCAGTTGGATAATGGGGAAAATCGCGGGGAAAATTCGCCGAGAATTTCTCTAAAAATAAAAAAAAAACAACACGAAAGAATCTACGCAGAGCGACTTCGAGGTATTTCTAGTCGAGCTATTTTTAAGGCAAATATTCAAATCGAACCACCCCGGTATCTTCGCGACCCCGGCGAATTTCCCGACACCCACGAAAAAACAAGCTTACTTTCTAACAAAAAAAAATTTTTTTCAACGAAATCTGTACGTAAGGAAAAACCGCAACTATTTGAATCTCCCTCGTAAAACTCGCCTACTATAAAACACATAAATAAAAAATAAATAAAAAAATATTGTCATGTACCAGCGAAAAAAAATAATCAAAACAAACATGAGGATAATAGAGGGGGGGGTAATAGAAAAAATAATTATAACACAAACTACGATTCGATCTCGAGAGTAACAAGAAATTAAACGAAAAAAAAAAAAAAAAACCTAGCTACTATAAGTATATAGTCTTCGAAGGCATACGGGTGCCCAAAATCGGGCGCCGCGACGTCGACCGGGCGCCGAAAACGACGCGTTTACAGGACGCCCCGCGAAAATCGCCCCAAGCGGAATTCGAACTAATACTGATGAAAGAAAAATCCTGGTGAAGTATTCGAGATTGCCCTTAATATATCACAAATCAACAAACATAACAAAGTGAAAATTTCGGAGGTTTCCCGCCCGTCCTGTACACGCTCGGTCGGCGCGGAAAAGCGCGATTTTCCCGGCAGCACGTACGGGGGGCGCGCGAGAAATCGCGCTCCTCCGCGCGGATTTCCCCGCGACGGAAAAACGATTCCGCGGCGGAAAAACCCGCGGAAAATTCGCGACGGCCCGACGCCCTTTTCTATCTTAAACTTGGCAGCATCAACAAACAAATATATTCATATAATAATATATATTACTACAGGTCTACAACTAAGTAAAAAAAAATACGATTGGTGGGAGAGAAAACGCGGTTTTCGTTTTGTGTGTTTTTTGTTGTTCATGCACCACGCAATACAAGTAAAAAATAATAACTAATATTAATTGTGGATAACAAAACTAAAAAAAAAATAATAATAAAAATACATCAAAAACAAATTGCCGGCTAAGTCTACGGGGGCTGTTCGAGGAGTAGGTGATGAGAGGGGGTGGTTTTGGTCGAGCCCGAGCAGGCTAGCGGAAAATGGGGCACGGCACAAAGTGGTTGTATTTATTGAAAACGTATGTGAAAAATAGGCCAAGTTAGTGGGAAAAAATTGGGAGAATTTAAATAAAAAAAAAACAATTCCGCGATTATTCCGTTTACAAACCAAAACTCCGAGTGTTGCATGAGCAAAATCCATTTCGAATGAACGCAAATTTTCCCGTGTTTATTGCACTTTTATCTCGTTCCCACCGATTTTTATCATTGTTAACTTTTAAAAAAATATCCGCCCGGATGAATTCGATAAAAGAACCAAACGATACAAGAATTCGTTGGACGTCCAATCCAATCCAAATTTCGCTTCTTTCGCGAGAATTGTTTTTTTTTTTTTCGGTTTTTTGGAAAAATTGGCCTTTTTCTCGAGCAGAATCGGAACAAAAAATTAGTGGAAAAAAAAACGGGACGAGTGGGTGGGTGAATCAGTATAGAGGGTAAAAATACGTTTTTCATATCTCCGTCCGCTATCATCTCGCGAGAGCTTATATAGAGAACAATAATAAAAAATAAGATATACTAAGTAATTGAGAAGTACAGTTCGTGGGTTGACTAGGGTCCGTAACAACGCGGCATCCCGCTAACAACAAGGCGCTATTTACTAAGAAACATACACAACATCATACACGCATATTAAAATAGATCATCATCGGAAAAACTGTTCAAATTTAAATGACAACAATGGTACCGGACGCCCGAACCCCGGGCGCCCGGGTTTTTTTTCAACATTTCTAATCTGAATAATAATATCCCTGTTTTAAAAATTGATAAATTTGGTCGTACAACACGCGCCAACAGGCGGCCGGCGGCGAATTTCCTCTTACTTTTTTATTCAAATTTTCATTCCTCATCATCCATATCGCGCCGGCGACGCTGCACAATCAGAGCTTGCACATCTCGTCATCATCATCATCATCATCAAACGTTTCATAATATTAAAATATCAACATGTGAAATACAGTACAAAACTATGACGATAAACATCGCGAAAATTTCGACAACTTTAAAAAAATAAAATAATACAATCAACAGACCAGCGTTGCAGCACCACTCCCGATTCTCAAAAATGCATCAACAAAAAGTGTGTGTGGAATGGCTGTCTGCTGGAAATAGAATCGAAGAAAAAAAAAAGAGAAGAGAAAGAAATAAAAAAATAAAAGGAGCAGACCCTGCCTGTTAGAGTACACATCCTTTTTAGGTTTACAATCCGATCGGAGGGACCTGCACATAGCGGTAGATATACAGTCTATAATCCTTACTAGCCAACACCACTGACCCGTCGTCCATCAGAGCCACATCGAAGCATTGGGCGTGCTTCACCTTGCTCTCCAAAGCCGACACCAGTTGCCCGTCCTGCGTGAATATCGTCAGATTGAAATTGTTGTGGTTATCAGCGATGAGGATCTCCCCGTTAGCGTTGATGCCCACTCCAATGGGATAATTCGTGATGCCTTCACCACCGATCTGCCTCAGATACACCCCCTCGTAGTTGAACACTTTCACGCAATGCGCCCGATTGTCGCTGATGAAGATCTCCTGCTTGTCGTTGACGACGACGCCGTTGGGGAACTCCAAGTGCTTCGAACAGCCGAACTTCTGCAGCACGGCGCCCGTTTGGTCGAAGATGATCACGCGCATCACCTTGCACTCGACCACCACGATGCGACCCTTGTTGTCGACGGTGACGCCGCGCGGATGCTGCAATATGTTCGCGCCGAACTTGCGCACGAACTGCCCGTACTGGTTGTAGATCTGGATCTGGTGCGTGGGCGATCGTTCGGTGACGATGATGTCGCCCGACGTGCGCACGACGGCCACGCGATTCGGGTACAACAGCTGCCCGTCGCGCTTGCCGCACTCGCCGAACTGGAACTTGAACCGCCCCTCCTTGTCGAAGATCTGGATGCGGTGGTTGTTGGTGTCGGCGACGATGATGTCGTTCTGCGCGTTGACGGCGACGCCGCTCGGCTCGGTGAACTGGCCCTCCATCACGCCGAACTCGCCGAACTTGCAGTGGTAGATCATCTTCTGGCGCTTGATCTGCGACTTGGGCGGGAAGATGGCCGTCGACATGAGCTTCGATGTGAGATCGAGCATGGGATCCGTATGAGCAGCGCTGCTGGTGAGCGAGTAGGGATCGGACGAGCCGTTTTGGAATATGCTGTCGTTGGTGCCGCCGTTCGACCACTTCTCGTACGGATTGATGCCGTTGATGGCCAAATCGCCGATGGTGGCCGAGAACGGTCCTAAGCTATTGGCACTGCTGAATCGTTTGCTGATTATGTTCGATTCGAACGGAGAGGTAGATTGGCTGGAGCTCGATATGGTGAAGGGACAGTGGATGCCGCCGTTCAGGCTGCCCGAGCTGCCGTTGACGCTCGAACCGCTCGAACTGGAACCGCCGTTATTACCGCCGCCGGTGGGTCTCGCGATCGGCGGTTGTTTACTGGGTCCCACCACCGGTTCGGAGTTCGATCGGACGTAGCCGAAGGTGTTGCGTACGCCGACTTGTATGGCTTGGTAGTTGGACACGAAGTCCAATTCGCAGGCGGCCTGCACGCTTTGATCGATGTTGTAGTTCAATAAACCCTGCAGTTTGGCGTCCAGCAATTTCCTGAACATCAGTATCTCGACGACGTTGGCGCACTTGTTCAATTTGTCGACGAACTCGCAGGTCTTGTAGATCTGCTCGCAGGTCTCCTGGCCCTTTTGCGTCGCGACGCCCAGCGATATTTGCTTGGCGCTGAACACGCTCTCGAGCTCTTTGAGCAGCTCCTGTTTGCGCTCCTCCAGCATCGATCTGTAGAACAAGAACGTGTCGTTGATCTCGTTTTGGGCCTTGTGGTATTGCACTTGCAACCGGCTCGACACGTGCTCGACGTTCTTCAATATATTTCTGATGTCTGTCGCTTTGCTTTTGGCTTCGGTGACGGCGTGTTGGATCGCCTCGATTTGCTTGGGCGCCGCCTCGCTGATGTGCTCGTAGTCGTGCAACCCCATCGGATGGTCCAAACTGAGGCATTCCTTGCAAATGGGCACGGCGCACGTGCGACAATAGTACTTCAACAATTCCGACTTGTGCCTCGGGCATATCATGCTCTTCTCGGCGTTGTTGGCGACGTTGCCGTTGGGTATCAGCCCGTTCTTCGGCTCGTCCTTGACTTCGGCGAGGTTCACCACGCGGTGGCCTTCGAAGCAGTGCATAAACTGGTGCGCCATCACGCAATTCGAGCACAAATAGTTGGCGCAATCGACGCAGCGCGCGACCGCGTCGAGTTTCTTGTGCTTGCAGCCGGTGCAACGCACCGACGATTGCTGCGAGAAATCGTCGCTGTTGAACAGCAGGCCGTTGAGGATGCCCTCGATCGAGTCGGAGCTGCAGCGCGGACAGACCAGCTTGTTCTTGTCGAGGCAGGCGTTGCAAATGGTGTGGAAGCAGGCGAGCAGCTTGGGATCGGCGACGGCGTCGCGGCACTGCTGGCAATGGAGCTCCGACGGGTCGCTGTCTCTGTCTACCGAATCGCTGACGGGCGGTGAGGAGCCGCTCACTGATAGAGGGGAATCGGCCAACGGGGAGAGCGATAGATAGTCGTGTTGATCACCGAATGATCCGATCGAATTTGCACGTGGTATGGACTCTATTGAAGGTGTCGGTGATGCCATTTTTTATTTAGCCGTCATCCCTGCAACCAAAAGAAAAACCAACAATTACAACCCGAGTATAGTACCTACTAACATCTACTACAACGACTCTATGCCTGGGGGAAGAATGTTTGTAGATCCCGAGGATCTATACACAACAAAGGAATTGGAATTCCGTAAGGTTAGGACTTCGTTAGAAATGATGACCATACAACAGCGGGAAAACTACAGAGGATCTTATGAGAACAACAACAAATTCGTGTCTAAAATGGAATAAAACGATAAATATAAAAATCGAGGTGGGTTGTTTTTTTTTCGTTTTAAAGTGAACGCGGGCATATTTATAAACAGCGGGCGTGTATGTGTATACGTATAATAAGCGTTTTGGCTGGCGTTCAAATTGCCCGGCATCTGTTTCGGTATTTTAATTTTTCAGTTATCGATGTATATTTTACGATTTTCATTTCAGAAGCGGCGGGATACTTTCCGTAAAAGCGCGAAATAATAAAACAAAAAAACCCTCCGATCGACTCTCCAAACACAAAGACATTAACCTTTTATTTCCACCTCAGACGAGACGCGGGGTGAATAGCCACAGCCGCCGCCGCCGCCGCCGCCTTCACCTCTTCCCCTGCCCCCCTCTTCGCCGCCTCCCGACCGTTCCCTTCCTTTCTATTCATTCCCAAGAAGCAAATACATTCGTTTTGATCGTTTCGCAAACACACACACGCGCGCCATTCCATTTTCCCCCGTCTCGAGTTCCATTGCACCGTCTCGAAAGCAACAAAGTTTCCAGGAGGGTAAATAGAAACGTATCAACAATTTAACGATCTTTTCAGATTCCTAAAAACACGATTACATCGTCCGACGAATCGGATTTTCACCAGTAAATTGTAATGCAGTATAGCAAACTGGCGCAGTAAGTAGGATAGTTGCGCCGTATGCAATATTTTCATCGGCAATAAATAATCCTCCTTTATCCTCCAAACCTTCCACGTGACTCTCATCGCTTACATCATCAGCATTATAATAATAGTACTTTGTACAATAACAGCGGAGGAAATCAACCGATTTTCTTATACAGAGACATGCGAGTTTAAATACGAATTTCCTTCCTTTACGCCGGAAAAGCGTCGCTCCCGCTGCACCGGGGGCTCCCTCCCCGGCTCGACGAGAGGGTCTGTCAATTCGGCACTAACAGTGGCGAATATTTAGACGAGTCTGGTGGGGCCCGGAGGGGGAGCCGCCGAGCGATCGATGCACACGGGCCGAGGGGACTAATGCCTGTTGCCTGGCAACGCCGTGAGGGTTGCAACCCCACTTGAATTATTGCTGCAACAAGGTGGCTGGCCCGGCTAGACGAGTCTCTCTGTGTGTGTGTAAAGTCAGATGCAAGCGGGGACGGTTCTACGGATAACCAACAAGCCGGACGGAAAAATCTTATTTGCGCTTATAAGGGATGATTTGCTGGGTTTTGGGGAGGCATGGGGGTATCGGGGGTACGCCAATGACCCCGGCGACGCGTTCACGCCCTTCGTGTATAGTTGCATTCGACGCGCCGCCGCCGCCGCCGCCGCCATCCCTGATTCATCGTTTTCCATGAATAATTCCCTATGACTCGACCGGACTGTCATTTGGATGCGATTCAATTCGAGGATCTGCGCGGTTTTTTTTTTATTTGGCGGACGAGTCGAGGAAAAACCGGTGGAAATTGTAAGGGGATTTTTCATGGCGCGGTCATTGCCGCCTCGGATTATAAACGAGGATGGCTTTGGTTAAAGGGAATGCGTTTGTTAAGGGGGTTTACAATTTTATGCTGTAAATGTAGACAATTTAAATTGTAAATTGTAATAACAATATTTGTGCAGTTTTATCGTAAAGTACGTAAAAGAATTAGCATTACTAAGTTGTTGGTAAACTAATAAACCCAAATGAGTTCGTTTTAAAGGTATTTTATCTAAAGGTACATCGCATTAAAATATAATCAAAGCATTTTTACGTTCGTTAAAAAAAACAAACAAGTTTTAGGAATGTTCTTCGACTAGTTGAATCATTGTAAATGTAACAATATAAACAATTAATACAAACTTCATACTTGTCTTAACCCGGTCCTGACTAATGTTTATTTTTTCGCTTGCATCAAGTAATCGTATGTCAAATCAAATGTCACAAACGACAGTTCAAGGAACAGAATCGTACTGGGGATATTGAAGACATCTTTCGATGTAATGACAAAGGAAATAAATTCAAAATGTTGGTTTATTTCGTTTGGGACGTCTCAACTGAAAATGTTCCCAACATTAAAGCGAATTTATCAAACACATTGTATAATTTCGTATCTACAAAACGCAAAGGTTTATCTATTAAGGCGCATTTTATGGCAACCGTAACAAAAGTGTCTAGTAGGTATAGAGCCAATATACGGAGGGTTCCCCTTTTGCCTACGTAATTTTTTTCATTTAATTTACTATCGCCGTGGTGACTTTTATTACTGTATCCTTTTGTACCGTTGGAAAGTTTAACCGATTGTCTATAGAACGGGATTTCGTACCTTTTTTTTTTTTCTTTCGGGCCGTTTAAATGCGACAACATCAACGCGGTGTTGTATGAAAATTTTTCGGCAGATGCGACCGGCGAAACGGACAGCTGTCGAGGAATTATTTAATGGATATATATTTTTTTTTTCGGTGCGAGTTTCGAATCGGCGACAACAAAGAATTTGGCGAAATTCTAGCGCCTGAATTTCTCGTGTTTTTTTATACTCCCTTCGCTATCGGGAGATAGTACAAACAGCTTACCGAAAAATGCAGTAATTGGGACGCACTGTATACACGATGGTTCAAAAGTACTGTGTTTGCTATCAGCATGAAACCTTCTTGAAGGAGGTGTTTCGCAGTAGAATTGATGTAAAAAAAAGATGTGAAAGAATGAAAGTTTATAGAAAAATATCAGAAAAATGCAAAACTTTCATTCATTCAGGTTTTATTAGAATCTATTTAGAATCTTCTGATAGCGAATGAAGTATAATTAATTTCCACTAAAAATGCCCCTTACAGAAACTCTAATAATTAAAATTGAAATTATTATTATCGCTTGATAGCGAACAGAATATAAACAAAAACTTGTCGCACGTTAAAAATATTCCAAATCGTTATTTCTATAGCGATAAAAACGTCCAAAATTAGCATTCATACTTTGAAACTATTAAAATATCACTAATAGTAAAGTGTTTTTTAACTTATTACATTATTAATAAGTTTCACGTTTATCCACCCTGTAAGTAAATATGTTTTTTTTCTTGTCTCAAACACCCATCTGGTGCAAGCTGATGCACAGGAACTGGTAATGAACACGCCGGGGTGCACACAAACGCCCGATTCGCACGGACAGAATTTCAAATACGAGGGTACGTCTGAAATTTCTCCCGTCCGCTCGTACGAAATATTCGATAAACAATAATACATTAAACCCACATAAATAATAACGTAATTATCGCATCGACAGCGATATTACCGTTATCGCTCGATTGATTTATATCCCAACCAAAAAAAAAATTAATATATCGAAAGACAAAAGGAAATTATTTCTCGTAAACAGGCGGGATTTTTCATCGACTTTCGACCCGATAAATTTCGTTAATAATCCAATACGGAGATTCGAAATTCCGATCGGCTAGTTCGAATTCGTGACCACATGCATGCACTCTCATCAGACATCAGACGTTCGAACCTATTAAAAGACGACATATGTTGTTGGGAAAAAAAAAATCCTCAAGGTCGTTGAGTATAGAAGGTTCTTGTCGAGAGAACCGAATCGGTCGGTCTCTACGAAATGTGGCCGGTGGAAAAAATGAATACAGACATTCTATAGTCCGTTCGCCATCAGGAGTGTGGTTTTAAAAGTTAGTTTTGCGTGAAAAATACTAAATTATACTCCGTTCGGCATCAGGAGAGATTGTAGAAGCTCATTTTCTGGGTGAAATAGGATATTTGTTGTAAATTATACTTCGTTCGGCATCAGGAGTGGTTATAGAAGCTCATTTTTAGGGTGATTCAGGATATTTGTTGTAAATTATACTCTGTTCGGCATCAGGAGTGGTTATAGAAGCTCATTTTGTGGATGAAACAGCATATTTGTTGTAAATTATACTCCGTTCGGCATTAGAAGTGATTATAAAAGCTATATGTAAAAGACTCGACGAAAAAATCTGAATATAATATAACATAAATTTTTACTGAAAATTCCCCAAATTGTGTGTTTCTTTTTAAGGGAAAGTCAGCAACACTGTTAAGAGTTGAGCTAAAAATGATATAAACAAAAAAAGCTCCTCCTTCAAGAAGGTTTTATTATTATCTCCTCATAGCTAACAAAGTATAGAATTCATAATTTTGCACCACCGTGTATACAGTGCGTCCCAAATTTTCCATTCGATTAATCATCGATAGGATGAAATTAACGATTTATCAATGGAGAGTGGTTTCGTTTGGAGCATCTCTACGCCGCTGAGAAGCGACCATCGGCTTAGGAGATAGAAGGGCGAAGGAATGCCAATGGCGTTTTGAGGTCAAGAACTCCTGCGGTCGACTCAGACTATTAACATTTTACGAAATGCGTTCGTAATTAGTCATCACGCCGGAGAGCGAACTCGCTTTTCTATAGCAGATTCGTTTTTACGAATTTCGATGGCTCGTCTACACGAAATCTACCGTTAAATTGAAACAACAAAAAAAAACATTCGAGGTCGATGTAATCGAAAGCGAAATTTCGCGCAATATGCACGAGGATAATTCTCGTACGTTCCTCGTAGAGAAAAATAAAGCGAAATTTATCGAACAACCCTCGTAATATGAAAACTAAACTTATCGAACGACCCTCGTAGAAATATACGTGAAATTTCTCAAGCGAGATACGTAAAAAAGTATTTCTTGAACGAACCTCGTAGATACAAAGCTGCAGAATGTCTAAAAAAAGGCATTTGTTAACCAAAAAAAACTCAAAAATATCTCAAGGGACCTTCATAA